TTTTATTGCTATTAAATTACAAATAACTATCATGAGCAAATATTTTCCTCTTTATTTTCCTTTCTCTGTTTGTTTTTGTTACCGTTTTTTTCTGGTTAATTTTCCTTATTTACAGGCAATGGCGCTTTTGGATAATGTTGCATCTCTAAAGTGTACCTTGAAAGTCGTTTTAAACAACATAGGGAACAGAAAAAATCGACATCTGGCAGTGGTTGAGCCACAAAACATTTATTATAATTTGATTTCTAGGTTTCCGGTCAGAAACAGCTGTAAAACAAAACAGCGAAATATATGTTGACATAAATATAAATGGGTGCCAGAAATATAACCAGACATAAAATAGGTGAGGTTCAAAACATTACTGCGATAGTGTGTCCAGCTTAGTATGATTGAGATGGAGTACCCCCCCCCCCCGGCCCCCTGCCCCCAGGGTTGAAGACACAGAAATAAATTGTACGCGGGGCTGTGAAGCTCTGTCTGGGGAGAATTTCACCCCCCCCCCCCCCCTGAACAAAAATTATCGATTCATGCGTACACTTTCTTGATATAGGTCCCATACGGAGTATAAATTCCCTATATTATCGAGAGGAAATGGTTCATTATTTTCAGACAAAATAAGATTTACTGCTTGATGTCGTATACTTATTACTAATATAAGCGTTGTTTTGGCAGGGTCGCCAACTGGTGCCCCTTTTGATTTCAACTGTTTCAATTTCCTCCAAAGGCCATGGGAAGGGTTATGGATGATGATTCATTCATATTTGTATACAGAATATCCAACGTTTTATTGTAACATGTATTGCTTGTTATGTTTTGTTTTGTTTGTTTTAGTTCGTTTGTGATTTTATTTTATTTTATGTATTCATTTATTTAGTTGTTTATTTGTTTATCTATTTACTTATTTCTTTATTTTGTAACGTATTTATTTATTTATCAATCAGATTCATTTAGTTATCTATTAATATGTTTACATTATTTTTATGGGGAGGGGTCTTAGGCGCGTGCTCTCTCTCTCTCTCTCTCTCTCTCTCTCTCTCCTTCTTCTTTTGCTTCTCTTTCAATAACATATTGAATATACATCAGACTAGAGAATGCAAGCCCCCCCCCCCCCCCCCGAGGGACGGTGGAACTATAGTGGTATGAGTATATGGACCTAAGGATCTAAATGGCGTATTCATACAACATTAGCCGCCCGCCCCCGCCTGTGGCCCAGCAAACTTTCTACGTCACACTGGGACACTCGTGTGTATTAGTCTTTCCTATCTTGCGATGATTCCGCCGCACCCTTAACCCGCGTTTAATCAAAATAGAACCATCGTGGATCTACTGAGAAGGGTAAATAACAACTTGTAAAAAAAACTTTCGTTACTGTTTTAGTTGCTATTGTTCAGTGATCTTGTTTTCTTGTTGTTGTTATTGTTGTCAGGCAACAAATGTCAACCAGCAAAACAAGATTGCAAAATTCCATTTAAAACTGTGATAGCTAGGAAATTAAGGTACTACTAAAATTCTACATACATTGCAATATTAACAAATCATTAAATAAAATAAAATAAAAAGTGGCAAGAAATCGATAAAATTTAAATGATCGAGTATTTACCTATTTCAAGAAGACTCCTTTTTAGATCCCGTAGTTCCTCCAACTCAAAAATGCACCTCTAATATAGATTGATGTTCAGTATACGTATCAAACTTTCTGGATCCAGTGCGAATGCCGTAAATCCCTGGATCAATTGCAATGAAAAGTTTGGGTGTGACTGTTCTCCAGCCTTACCATCAGCCTCGCTGACGACGACGAACGCATTCAACTTCAAAATCGATTGTTTCGTCATAATAGTTCTGCCGACACCACATTAAACCCATGCCATTATTTTGATATCACCGCGTGCATTGCATATTAGCATCAAAGCGTGATGCAATTTATGAGTTTTTTATCATCCATCTGCGGTGAGATTTTTAACAAGTCTCGAGCTTTGCAACAAATTCGGGGAGAGAATAGGAGCACCGTATAATATGTCGGGGTCACGAAAGCTTTATCTTTGCGGGCCAATGCGGGGGAATATTGAAAAGAGCCCCGCAATCTATTTTTAGAAGACGCGCGACTTGAAAAAACTCTCAGGAAATAAGGGGTCTATTAGTATACGGTTGATAATGACGGTGGGGAAGAAGAAATCCTAATCTAGCTCATATATATGCAGATGATATTATCAGGAAACGTTGTATTACGTGATTCTGTCCTGCCTCGCTTGATTGAGGCAGAATACTTTTGTTCGTGAAGAGATATGACCGTTGTATGACCCTTAAAGGTGAAATATGATTATTTACGACCTAGTCAGTAGTCATAGTAGCTGAGAATAAATGATGTGATCTTACACCTCTCTGTTATTGTTAACAATCTCCCATAGCTTTGGGAATTCGATGTGCTTGACAGAGAGAGAGAGAGAGAGAGAGAGAGAGAGAGAAAGAGATAAAGAGACAGACAGAGATTTGAATTGCTATCAATAATTGAATTAATAACTCTCGCATTAATTCACTTGGTACAAGACAAACAATCCTCAACGGGTCAACTATTGTTACTTTTAAATTAATCATTCATTTACGTATACAAACTCATTCAATCCATCAATCTATCATTCAATGTATAAAATGATTAACTGATCAATTACCAATCTAATGATATAATCATCAGCCTATCAATTCATGACGAAACCTGCAAATCATTCAATCAATATTATTAATTACCTACTCGCCAATACATCAGTTGATTTATCAATCAACCAACCAGACAGTAAATACCACTCCGGATACCACTTCAAATATACAAACATCTTATCTAACCATGGACCTACTAAGATCTAACATACCAATGAGGTTGTTATTTAACTAACCAATTACCTTACCTACGATTAACCAATTAATTAACCCATCATACACTACCAAGCAATTACCCTATCCTATAACTTTCCGATCCTTCTATTAATAAATCAACAAATCACTAACACTACAATCAACCAATAGATCAATCAATATCGCCAAGATGTCATCTAACCTACTAATTATTTTGCTAATTGAATGAACAATAGTCATACCAACAACCAAACTCCCTAATTAACCAATCAGCCAACTGATTAAACTACAAAATAACCTATCACCTCACTCAATCACTCACTTTATAAATCAATGTTGCATAACATTATTAATCAATAGGCCATTTTCGTAATGTAACCAAATTTAATGCATAAGTCTTTGTGAAGTGCCTCAATACATATTATTTCACTCACCTGAAAAGAATAATAGTATTTAAATAGACAGAATCCGAACTGCATACATAAGTTGTTGCCAGGTTGGACAAACATTATGGCTTGACCTACCTAGCCACACTTATGCAGTTTGCATTCTGACTATTGAAATACTATTATTCTTATCAGGGGAATGAAATAATTTGTATTTGTAAAGACTTAAGAAATAAATTTGGTTACATTACGAAAATGGCCTATTGACCTAGCAGCTATCAACATATCAATTGGACTATGAATGAATAAATCTAAATATAAACTAACCATTTAACTAATATACCATTCAAATTGATCAGCAAACCAGTAACCTAATCAGCTGATTGACCATTTACCCTAATAAATTTGACCCCCACCCCCCAAAAAAAAAATATAGCAATAAAAAAAATAACAAAAATAACAAAAACAAAAACATAGACGCTATAGATTCTAGCACTCACCCGGAAAATCAATCTGAACAATCTGACTGCATCTTAATGAATCAATAAGGGTCCAAGGCACTCTTATAAAGCAGGTAAGGTTTAGTTTTCCTTTATTTTTTTTTATCAACATCACATAATACACCATATAAAATTACAAAGTGTTATTTCCATGATTAATATAATACTTGAATACAATCAGCCATTCTATTGCAGCTACACCTATTATGTATATATTCAAAATTGAGAAAGGGAGAGAAAGAGAAAGATAGGAGTAAGGGAAAATGATAGAGAGGAGGGGGAGGAAGGTGGAGAGAGGAAGGGAGAGAAAGGGGAGAAAAGGGAGAAGGAGGAGAGAGGAAGAGAGAGAGAGAGAGAGAGAGAGAGAGAGAGAGAGAGAAGGGATAATAAAGAACATGGTATGAGAGAGAAGATAAGAGAAGTGCACAGAAATTTCACTCTGTGCATCAATACCATACAATGTAATTACATGTACTTTTAATACGATAAATAGGAAAACGTTTTATAGTATTGTATGATATTATTGAAAATACAACAAAATGGTACTTAAGTAGAATCATAGTACATATGAGGGTTAATAACTTTACAGCTCAAAGTCTGTTCACTGATACTAGTACTTGCTCTTTATAACGTCAGACTCAAGACATTTGTTATAAATATGGGTAAAGTAAAAAGCATCAATTTTAACAAACAAATGTTTGAACAAATTTACTAATCATCATGTAAGAGCTGTATACAAACTCTGTAAGAGGGATTGAATATTATAAAAACTGGGAGATCACATAACTGAGTTAGAGAGAGAGAGAGAGAGAGAGGATGAAAGGGGGAGAGAAAGAGAGAGAGAGAGAGAGAGAGAGAGAGAGGGGGGGGGGGCAAGAGAGAGTGACAAAGAGAGAGAGAGAGAGAGAGAGAGAGAGAAAGAAAGAAACAGATGAAAGATAGAGAGAGACAGACAGAGAGACAGAGACAAACAGAAACAGAGAGAGATAGATAAAAAGAAAGAGAGAGATAGATAGATAAAGACAGAGAGATAGATAGATAGATAAAGAGAGAGAGAGAGAGAGAGAGAGAGAGAGAGGGAGCAAGTGTGGAAGTACTCTTACATTACCCCCAACATTGGGGTAAAACTCAGTTGTATACAAGTATGTGCATTTAAACAAGGGACCAAGAAGAATAGAACATTAAAAAAATTATCTGAATCTAGGGTACACATACAACACCAACAATGATATAATATCCAAATGAAATGGAAATTGACGCAAACACATATATAGGAGGTAGAATATATTGGAAATCAGAAACATATCATAAACAACAATTTCATGTAACATACTTTACATTTCCATCACTAAAATGTACTATTTCATGTTTTGACCTGCTCTTCTATAAAAAATAAAAGTCATACAAACTGCACATAATGTAATCAGTCAATATACATCCATACAGTACATACCAAAATGTCACATGTTAAAATTTGGAATCTGTACAAGAAAAATTGACATTAAATTACAAAAGCATTTCATAAATATATTTGGTACATATCCCTGTAAAAAGCACAGACCTCAGTCAGTGTACAAATCATCAACATTTGCATAACGGTTTTGTGTAATTTGACATTGAAGTACAATGTAATTTCAGTCTGGAGCCACAAGGCATTAACTAAAATACCTTAACCCATAACAGTAACGTTTTCTATAGGTCTAATAAGTGATTCAGCCTTTCCTCCTCGAATTGGTAACAATTATTTGAATATCCTACTCAGTTAAAAAAATACAAATGTACCTTAAATGAACTTTACAGAAGAAAATCAAAAACAAGAAATTGACTAGTGTGGACATGAAACAGAGATTTTAAATTTCATTCTGCATTGCCAATTTAGAGATGTCAATGATTAATTTTAATTATATCATTTCTCTTTACAAACGGCACAACACACTGCTACAGTCACACGCTTCCTTGACGTGTTGTGTATAAGTGGACTGTGGATCGCATATTGCAGGGTTCAAATCCCTGTGGTGGCACTAACATCCTTTGGCAAGACATTTATGCATTTTCAGCTCATAACCAATTTGTAATTCAGAGCATTCTTGATCAAAAGATAAGCACGAAAAGGTCACTAAAAGGTGACGGTAAACTGCTATGGGTTAACACAAAACGAATTCCTTAGTGGCTCCAAGCAGACAAGATCAACAATACAAACTGAGAACATAATAATTCACAATTAATATCAGCTACACCTCATATTTACATAATTGTTGGAATTTTCATGGAATGGTGTAAATATGGAATTGGAATGCAGCTATTCTTTAAGTACATGAATTTTTACAGAGTACAGAAAGAGAAGAGACAGAAAAATATATGATTCATTATACATGTACCTCAAATTGTAAGCAATCATTTGAGAGAATTGAAAAAGACATAATGATGTATATGGAATTTGTACAATTCATATGAAAGATTGAAGACAAATGATTTGTCTTTCCACGCTGCTGAACAGACAAGTATTTTCCATACCCTGGCAAGTATGGCTTGCATAGTTCACCACTTAACAAACACACAACCTTGTTCACACATATTTTACCTTGCTTCAAGAAAAAACAATCAACAAACAAACAAAACAAACAAAAAACAGGTAGTTTGGTATAAAACACACGTTACCTCACATTGTAATGTTCACACACTTTCTGTGATCAAGTCCTACCCCTCCCCCAAGTCCCCCCCCCCCCCTCTTTTTGCTGATAAATAAGACACACACACACAAAAAAAAACCCAAACCCGTTAAGAGGTTTTAGCTCAGTCCAGGCCAATTAAAAAAAGTGAACGAAAACATGATTTAAATTCATCCTTTCATCGTCACCCTGTACGGTGCCACAAAGTCATAAATGGATCATTGAATAGATCTATAATTCATACTTCAATTTTCAACTTGTTACAGTTTTTCATACCTAACAACACAATTCATGCACCCATCTTTCATGAAAAACAAACAAACAAACAAACAAGCTTTTCTTGGTCAAAAGATATCAGACAGAGTAAGAAGATATGGAAATTTAAACCTTCAAAATCCACTGTAAGGGTTAAATTGGAACTGACTAACTTCAAATCGTTCATTCAGTTTATCGTTTCAATCAGATCAAACTACATGTACATTACAAACAGTTTTTAATGACAGCATACATGTACTTATATTCATATTCATACAAACATGTGATCAACTGTGTTTCTGTCAGCAGAACGTTGTACATTTCTTTCAAATTGGATATAAACTTGAGAGTACATTTTCAACTTGAAATCTACCACAAATTGACAAGCCCAGAACATTCCTACAATTTGAGTGGGTACGATTCTTTTCTTGTTTACATTCTGACCGACAACCAAAAAGAGAGTGGGAAGAAATGATAGGGGGGGGGGGGGGTAGATAAAAAGAGAAAGAGAAAGAGGAAGACACATGGTAGCACTGTGGCATTCTTTAACACGATTGACCCAACCAGGCAACTTCATATTTCAGTCTACTGCCATCTAGTGTCCAGTGCTGTTTCCTTTCTTTTGTTATCAAACCCTGCTTGCAGTGCAGTGCCTTTGTTGTAAATAATTGCATACAACACACACATAAATATGATTCATTAACAACTGTTGAATAATAAAATAACTCCTTATAAGGTTGTACCAAATTTCCATGACTCATACAAGGAACTCAAATTACATCCTTACAAATGGGACTAATTATAATGATGGCCATTAAATACAGTACCAGGCTTTTCTATTTAAATGGTTAAAAATAGTTTAAATTAAGACATAATTTACAATTTCAGACAAAGGTTGCTAAAAAATTGGAAAGATAAAAAGACAAAGAAAATTAAAGTACCACAGGAATTATGGGGAATATTCTAAACTCTACTGACTCCAGGGTGTCTACATCAACTTGACAAAAAACATTGTTATATTTCACTTTTATGTCATGTCACAGGAATCAATACACTTTGAATATTCTGAAGCTCTCTATATTTACTCGTGTTACATCACCACAGGTTACCATTGTGAGTGGTTACATATGATGCATGTACATTCCCAGCTGATATGTGACTGATAATGATCAACATGTTGATGTTCGATAGCAAGAATATTCAGAGCACTCATAATAACTTTAATCATTACCTTTAAAGTACCGGTAGTATAAATAATCATGATTTCCACCTGAAATATGATGTTGTAAGATGTTACAAAGTACTCTTCAATCCAAGATAGAGGTTTACCAAACAGGGCTATATGATTATGTGTTGCTTTGATGGAAACGCTTCTTCATGATGACGACTAGCAACTACTGAGTGTTTCTCTCCATCACTTAACTAACATGTGGTCATGCGCTTCCTTGATGTATCATGATCTCATGTTTAAAAGGACTGTGGATTGCATATAACAGGGTTCAAATCCCTGCGGTGGCACTAACATCCTTTGGCAAGGCATTTATTCCATCTGCCACTCTCCACCCAGGTGAATTAATCGGTACCCAGTTGGAAAATATTCCTTGGAGTCTTTAATGCCGTATCAGGGCACCTTGGCTAAAGCTGGGGTGATATACTGACATCTTGGATCAGTTCGGCTACATACCGGTTCCTATATAGCGCAATATGCAGTAGGCGTTTACAACATCTTCAGTTCTAATCGTCAGTCACAGAATGGATAATATGCTATCCTCGCGGGAGAACTAAAGATCTCGTGTATCCTTAACCCTCCCGATCGGGGATGAAATACTCTGTAGCGCGACCATGTTTTCCTCTTCCGACGATTCGCCGTTCGCAGCCCCCGCGTTCTGCCGCCTCCGTCGGTCCCTGGTCGCCATCGTGGCGAAGATGTACTTGTAAATGAGCGCTGATACCACAGCACCTAATACAGGCCCAGCCACATATACCTGGAACAAATAAATGCAATAATATGTAGGTTGCAGAATGTACATGTACGATTAATTGATACAAATAATAAATCTTTCTATCCCCGGTTTATGGTTGATATACTACAAAATGGAATTTCTGTCCATTGATCATTCTAATTTCTAAGATAATTAACTTGAGTACAGTAGTTGGACTTTTTGAGTAGCCAGCGTGTTACCAAACTGTTGGCGCCCAAATCCTCTTAATAGGTCATTGAATTTCTTTCCCTTTATGCTTTGGGACACTCTTTAAGACCCTGCGCTGTCCAACGATCTGTAAAACACTTGTAGTAAACTTGACTAGAACTCATTGAACATCAAGTTATACAGTAACAGCGATCTTTAACATCTTCAGTATACAAAAAACAGCTTTGCCCCTTTTTGCTCTGTTGTCAGATTTTAGAACTGGAGCAATTATTGTTTCGAGCTTTGAGGTCATATTTGGCAATTCAGTTCTGTTTATTTTCTCAAATATAAACAACAGTGCTAAATATGTTACTCATTGCCGATAAAGTATAGAAAATAATATCGCTAATGACATTTGTTTATCTCGCAATGTATGGTTAACAAGGGATCAAAAGATCACGACGTTTCGGTGATAAAATATATTGTAAGCAACACCTTTTATACTCGATGGGTGGACAGACGGTCAAATAATTTGATCAATAATTAGAACAATAACGGACAAGGCCTATTGGCCGAAGCACACGGGTGCTCAACCAATCATAAAAGATGCTTGCTTACAATATATTTTATCACTTGACAAAGTGTTGCAGCGGCACACGAAACGTCGTGATCTTTTGATCCCTTGTTGACCATACATTGTGAGACAAACGAATGTCACTAGCGATATTATTTTCTATATAAACAACAGGTTAGTAGTATGTACTGTACCTTACTCTATGATAGAGACTCTTCAAACTCACCTGTTCAAAACAACGTTTTATATTTTCAATATTTAAACATTACTTCTATGTCATTTATGTATATTTATGTGTACTCAGTTTAATCTTAATTATAGCGTGCATGTACTCTGTGTTGCAATTTACATCTAATTATAGTTCACATTTTTCTTGTATTCTCTCACCGCCAACAGTATTTAACAAACATGATAACTTCATACTTTCAGCTGGAATCTGCCTCGCCAACTTACCTCTAATAAGACAAGCCATAATGTTGTATCCACGTTTGTTATAACAGCAGCAGCTAAAGACCTAGCTGGATTCATGCTTGCCTGAGTAAACGCATACTGAAATACAAAATACATCCATAGGTAAAATAAATGTCAGTGCCAAATTGTGTGCTAGTACACATTATCTTTTGGTTAATAAAGAACTATATTTGTCCAAAATAGCAAATCAAAGAGCAATTAAAGCTGAAAAGCAGTAAAATCCTTAAATTGGCAAGATCAAGATAGCTGAATGCAAAATTACTATTTTCTCACATAAATTTACACTTTAATTTGCTTTATGTGATAATCATTAATACAGATTCATTACAGATACATTATATATTATTCAGTAACAATAACATAATAGCAAAATAAAAATAAAATTGTTGCCAAATTGAGGAGGAATGGCTAAGTGATTCATTCAACCCTGTTGAAAATCATTTTCCTCTGTGGAAGAAGAAATAAAAGTTGAATGAAATTTTATGCTAAGCCTTCTTTGGTAATTGATGTGAAGAAAAAGTTTGGCGATTGCCAAACGATAAATAATAACAATTTTCTTTTTGTTTTTTTAAATACAAAATAGATTTTGGGTACTTACCCCCCACATTGTATTCATACTGTAGGTGATGCCAATAACAAGTGCTCTACAGCCGGGCAAGTAGCCACTCTCGGGCAACCTCAGTTCCCATGACGATAGCACAACAAAGACATAGATAAACGTAAGGATAAGCTCAATGCCGAAAGCGAGATGGGAAGATATTTCAGATGATGGGCTAGTGGAACCGAGCGAGCCTTGTAAATCTGCGGGAATGGACCTGATAAGAAAGAAGAAGAGAAAAAACAATTGTGACAACTAGTATTGTAAGGTACTATTATTTCATGAATTATGCTCAAAATTAATTTAATCTAATATGGGAAACACAATGATATTGATGGTGATGATCTCATGGAATTTCCTTTAAATTAATCCTCTAATTACAATGTTATTTTAGAATTTAGAATTAAAAACACACCAAAATAAAGGAAAAGAATTCTTGGTTTTGGTTTAATAATGGATGAAGCAGATGTTCTTCACACCAGACACTCTGATGAGCTCATAACAACTCATCATTTAAAGATAAAGTTGACTTCTGGTCACGCGATGGCATTGTGAAAGAAACAGTGCAGAATCGATCAGAAAAGGTTGATCATCTAGCATACAAGTATTGGTGTAGACTGCAAGGTTCTGGAATCATCAAAATGATAAGAAATTTGGCCCAGTCTTGGTAAAGTTACAAGCACTGTACACAGAAATATGTATATGGGACTACAGGAACATGTGGTATGAAAATCTGTCCCGATTTTTATGCTGTTACATGCCATATCTAGAACATTAAAGCATTTGAAGAGCCATGCTTTTCAGGCAACATTTTGATCTGATGTTCTTCCACATTTGCATTATAACGATGATAACGCTCACACATTATTTTCACCTCTTCCCAGAACTCAACCTTCTCTTTAAACACTCTTTTGTTTTACTCATACTTTAGGAACGTAATCAATTTATTTCACATGTACTGACCTTCAAATTTCAACCATTTGTAGGCCCTACATGCATGGATACTGTTGGTACATGAATTTATCTTTGCTTTTCATAAGTCAGTGCAGGGAAACATTGAGAAGAAAAAAAAAAATCTTTAATACTCTCTGAAGAAAATAATAATATAGATAGACATTAAACACGGATATGTCTAATGTGTAATAAGGATTATAAAAAGCCTGTCTTTGGTATTAAATCAAGTGCAACAATTCTGTGCAAGTCTGCTCAGAATGATGCCAGATGTTAGAAACAGGTTGTTGATCCAAGGAGAATACGAAACAAAGAATCTCTTTTTTCTCCTTGGAATTTCCTCTTTCTTTCAAGAGATGTTCAAAGCATTGCTGACCTGGAAATTCAGGTCAAAGTATCTCTGTTTATGTCATCACTTCCACCATATCCTGTACCAAAAATAACATAACTCCTCTACAGGGATCAAAAGAGACACGCCCCCTAGAAATCGACTAGTACCTTTACAGTTTTGAGGAAGGATTTTTGAAGAATGGCAAAAATTCCCTTTAATTTTGAGTACTTAAAGAGAAGGTTGAGTTCTGGGAAGAGGTGAAAAATAATTTTTGAGGGTTATCATTCTTATTATGCAAGTGCGGAAGAACATCAGATAAGCATGTTCCCTGAAAAGCATGGCTCTTCAAATGCCTTCATATTCTAAATATGTCATGTAACATCGTAAAACTCCAGGGTAGGATTTTGACGCCATGTACATGTTCGTGTAGTCCCATATATATCTTTCTGTGTACAGTGTTTGTAACTTTACCAAGACTTGGCCAAATTTCTCATCATTTTGATGATTCCAGAACCTTGCAATACACACAAATTCTTATATGCTAGATGATCAATCTTTTCTGGTCGATTCCACACCGTTTCTTTCACAATGCAATCACATGAGCAGAACTCAACTTCATCTTTAAACGGTTGAACCTACATGTATAGATGGCATTATCAGGGCTCACACTCAAGTTCCGATTCCAAAAAGGCTTTCAACTGGGGAACCTAGGCAACTGTTGCTTAATTCCATTTTTGGTAACTTTTGACTATTGAACTAAATAAACATACTACATGTACATGTAGGCCTACATGTAAAACTATTATAGTAGTCTTTAATTGGCTAAAGTTACAGTTGACACAATACATGTGTACACCCAGGACACAGTAGCAAGAGTTTTAGAAAGGCGGACAGGATATTACATGTGTTACCTAGGCAACTTGTTAATCTAAAGCGATGCATTAGAGTCCATCCTATAAATGAAGGTTAAGTTAATTACTTAAATCATAAGTAAATTGGTAGTTACATAATCCTATATTTCCCCTTTATTTAGGCTCTTTAATCATTCACTTTCCTACATGTATACCTCATCCAGGCTTTTATTTGTCTTCAAATGATTTTATATTTTCTAACCATATTTCTGGGGTGATTGAAAGATAACTTCCTTGTTTGGATAATGGAAAATACATGACGTATATGTTGTTGTCTTGAAAATAGTGCTGTAACATCACGGATATCTCCAATTCCGTTTAACCGCCTGTCAAAACCGGACGGTTTTCGGTTAAACGATTTAAAAAAAAAAAAAAAAAAAAAAATTGTTTTTTTTTTTTTTTTTTTTTTTTTTTTTTTTACCGTGTGAAAAAGCAGGAAGGTGATTTAACTGAAGGCGCCGATTTGTGCTTGTGAACTAGTCACAAATAATAGTAACAATGCCATTTTAGAATAATGTGTAAGATCATTAAAGTAAATTAAAAACAGTAGAGGACCTAGGATAGAACCTTGTGGTACACCATGTGTTAAACTTGGATGAATATATATTGAGATCTATTACAAAGATTACTTTCAAACCAAGATGACAGACAAATTGGAGTGTTGTTCTAGTTTCCAAGTGGTAAGTCATCACACCGATTACTGAGCTGGGAGACATTGCCAGGCATAGTGCCAGGTGGAGGGGCATAAATCGAAACTTAAAAAAAAAAAAAAATTAAAAAAAAAAAAAAAAATTAAAAAAAAAAAATTATTAAAAAAAAAAAAAAAAAAAAAAAAAAAACGGGAAAACGAAACCGTCCAATTGAAAACGGAATCCGCCATGGGCGGTCGGATACCGGACGGTTAAACGTTTGACTACAGCACTACTTGAAAATATGAATTTTGATTCCCGTCATGCAACAATAACATAATCTGCAAATTCTGCATGCGGGCCTACACTTTTATGTAAGAAATGATTTCAGCTACTGTATCTCAATGATCTTGAGTCAAGTTTAATACTACAGTCTATCATAGACAACGGCCCTAATTACTTTCTTGACTCTAATACAGTGGTGCTGCATCGTAGCAAACTCCTTTTGACTGACAATATTACCTTGTTACAATGAAACCCAAATAACAATTAGAGCCCCAAAACAACAAAGCACAGAGAAATGGGTTACAGACCGACGAAATTGCCTTGTCATGAAAGTTTACAATAACAGTGTTTTTCCTAATAATGTTTCACTAGTAACTTCCAGGTTATACTGGGCTCATACACATTCCTTATGATAATGTTCTACTGTACATGTAATTTCCAGAAAATTTTCATGATATTCATATACATGTACAAGTGCTTAGATGTATTTTTTGAGAAGAAAAAACCCTGAAATGGGCAAAATAGAGTGATAGGTTGCGTGAGAAACACACAGATCAAAACATTGCTATTATGTTCTACTGCACAAGAGCACATGTAATTTCCAGAGAATTTCCAGAGAATTTCCATGACACTGTAAATGTACCTTGATGTATTTTTTGAGAAAAAGACTAAAAGGGCAAAATAGAGTGTGATAGATTGCGTGAGAACCCACCACATCAAAACATTGCCACAGACACTGAAGAGCCATGATCGGAATGAATTTCCCATCCTCGAAGCTCCCTCGCTTGTCCTCTGGAAAAGGATATATCATTGATCTTTGGCTCCTCTTACACTCAAGTGAAAAGCCAGAGGGATGGGTGTATATTATGCACTTAAAAGCTATCATGTGAATTATTTTATACTCATCAATATTAGGTCACCTGTGCAAAAAACTTTACCCCTACGTGAAAACTTCAGCAAACAATTCCTCAGCCTACAATGTACCTGAACAATTTTTCTTTTTAAAAACTCATAGCAGTTTAGTGTCATGTTAGAATGATAAAACCTGTGTCCCCTGCCCCCCTCCCCCCCCCCCCCAAAAAAAAGAAGAAAAAATGAAGAAAAAAAAAAGCACAATTTCAATGGAAATCAGTCTGAGAAAAGAGTATTTTGAAATTCTAAACCTGAAGTAAATCGCAAGTAACTAGATTGACCAACTGGCCATGATTGTATTTTTACTTTTTTTAGGAATGTATTTTCATTTGAAAAATAACATGGCTCCTGGCTGTCTTTATTGCCTGGATTGTAAGACCTCCAAAACCCTTTTTATGCCTTACACATGGTGGAGCCTACATACAATGTACATGTACAGTGCAGGTTTGCTAAAGAGTATTATTGAATATCAATGTGAAATACCACAACTCATTCAATTCACAGCCTTCCAATGTACAAATAAACATCTACCAATGCACTCACTAGGGCCCATTTACATTGCAGAAAAAACAATTTGAAAAGCCACTGCTTTTTTAAAGGTAAAGACCAGTTATGGTCATGCGATTGCATTGTGAAAGAAACATTGTGGAATCGATCAGAAAAGGTTGATCATCTAGCATCTAGCATCTGCAAGGTTCTGGAATCATCAAAATGATAAGAAATTTGGCCCATTCTTTGTAAAGTTACAAGCACTATACACAGAAAGAGGTATATGGGACTACCCTATATCTCTCACAGACCATGAGAGAAACAAATTTATCAAATATATGAATTAGTAGACGGTTTCCCGGCAAATTTTTTATCATCATGTATTAGTCAAAACATATTCTTTCACATGATTGGTAATGAGAGCTTCCATTTCATTTTTGAAATTGGGGCGTTTCCAATACTGGTCTTTACCTTTAAAACCAACATTTACACTACTAGCAGAACCTATAAAAGGCATTGGTGTATAGTTCAGGGGAGCGTTTCACAAAACTTGTCATCAGTGACAAATGACAGTTAGCTACTGAAATCCTTGCTTCTGATTGGCTATCAGCAGATTTGTCACTGATTTTTGTCATTTGTCATTGAAAATGGCTTTGTGAAAAGGGTCCCTGTTTTTTGGTGAGTTGTGTAAACGCACCACTTGTTGCTG